GCAAACTCTGGGAACTTCCTGTCCAAAAAGTATATGGGTCAGGATAGCCCAGTTTGCTATGGTGATACCCTGACCACAAAAAGCTCTGTGCAAAGCATGGATACTGTGTCAGGTCAATCTTGGCCTAGATCTCTAATGACAGCTCCGGGTGGATAGAGGATTCTGAGCATAGTGGGATAACCAAAATGTTCCACCCAGGCTGTAACCTCCAAGCCTGCCTGCTTAGAGAAACTTTGAACAATGGGCTTCCTGGATGCCACAGGATGCTCTTAGCATTGCAATAGAGAAATAACTATAATAATGTTTCTAGCCCTGTAACTTTCTAGTGCATAAACAACAATGCCTCCATAGCCTTTAACCTGCTGATTATGAGACCCTATATAATAAACTTGCTGGGCCAACTCTGCCACTGTCTCTCCATCAGGATGCAGTGTTCTACCTAATCCTAGATTTCTATCAATATCTGTGTGTGTGTGTGTGTGTGTGTGTGTGTGTGTGCATTTTCTTTAATCCCTCATTGCCCCTCTGGTTTCTTGGGTTCAGCTGTACAGGTTATGGTAGACTCTTCCTCAGGAGGCCCCAGTACATGAGCTGCCCCAGTCTTTATGCCAAGGGGTAGACCCAATAGTGGCCAGGGCAGTAGCACTGAGCACTGTCTGGTGCATGAAGGTCCTTTCTTCCACCCTGTCTCCAGGATAGAGCCTAACTAATGTGTGCCTTATGTATAAAGCATCCTGATGCCTTATGTATAAAGTTTCTGCAGCATCCCATCACAATCTACCCAGTGGGGCCATGCCAAGACCCAGACCATCCTGTGGATCTCTGCATTCCCTTGATCTGTTTTGTCACTTCCTGCCCAATTCCCTACAAGCTCTTGTAGTCTCCATTTGGCCAATGGACCACTATTCATGTGAAGACACATCCCCGGGGGATACCTGCTGGCTTATGAAACAGCCAATTGAAGAAACTCATACAGGTTGGTTTCAGGCCACAGGGGAATTTTTGGCAGACCCAAGGGTGCACACAATATTTCAAGAACTGATATTACTGAAAACTCAATTTTTAGATCAATTATGATTGGATTTTATTGGGGTTTGGTGACAAATTATGATACCTGAAGCATGGGAACAGTCAAGATAGTGGGATAATCTAGCAAGATATTAGCAATACAAACCAACCCAGATTCAAAGAAAAAGCTAAAAAGATAAGATTTAAATAAACAAAAAAACAAATGAGTTTAGTCTTTGCACCTACCACAGTTGCACTATCCTTATGCCAAAGAAACTCTGTCTCCTTCCTACCCTTCCATTTAATTTGTGCTCCCATCTCCTGTTTCTCCTGAAGTTCTCACCCATGGGTGCAGTTTTAGTGCTGGTAGGACTTAGAGACCCCTGGAGGCTCTGGGGCCCCAGCATGGCTGTGTCCTCAAAAATCATCACAGGTGCTTATAACAATACGGATTCCTGGGGTATACTCAAGTCCATTGACTTTGAACCTCCAGGATAAGAAGCCTGGGAAATGAATTTCAGAAACTCCTAGGTTATTCTCTTGAGAATTAGAGTACCCCTGCCCTTGCCCAATCCTCTTACCATCCAGATGAGTTATGGAGGCCAAGGGATGAGGGGCTTGCTCAGGGTAAGAACCAAGTCCAGAGGGACTGGGTAGTCCCACAGAATGATCCCCCTTGCACTCTACAATTCCATCTCTGTTGCACAGACCCATTCCTGCACGCAGATTTTCCTGCGGCCACCAGTGCTAGGACTCTGAGGTCACCTAGCAGCTGTGAGTGCCATCTTTCATCTGTGAATTGTGGGTGGCCATGTAGTTTCTAGTTTCTTCTGATTCTACCCAGGGGGCCTTCTGGGCTCTGCCAGTGGGTTCCAAGTACGGGATCTTTCCAACATAGTTTTGCTTCCAGGAGAACAGGCCCTGGAAAATAATTCCATGTGCCATTCCAATTCTTGAATTTTTTAAGATGTGTCTGCATTCTTCTGTATTTCTGAACTCTGCCATTGAATATATGTTCCTCTTGGGGCAGGCCACTTGGGCTGACAAAATCTTGAATTACCAAGATGATTCTTTTCATCTTCTCCAAGGCAGAAAGTACTCTGTTGAATATCACAGTCAATGTTTTGAATCCAGAGAAGTTGAAAGACAAAATACAATATCTCAGTGGAAAGGGATAGAGTTGGTATTAGAATCACTTAATTTCTTCTGCACAGTTAACATTTTGTCAAACAAGGATGATCCACATGGCATCCTAACGTAAGGAAAATATTTTCTGCATCTGATTTCATAGTAAAGAAGACAATATGTCCCCATAGCTTTTATGTGGTTTTCTGTTTTGAGGATGAAACAAGCACCAGCCTTCCCACCCCAAATACAAAATTAACATGTTTCATAGTTTATAAAATACTTTCACATGTATTATCATCTTAGCCTTCAAAATCCTACATGATAGGCATTGTTCTATTACTATCAGATTCTCCCTTCAGATGAGGAAACTGAGAGTCAAGGAATTCAATTTCCTTCCATCCCACCACTCTGTCTCTCTGACGGCAAAGACTCCTTCTGGGGGTCAGTCCTGCCCTAGTGGTTCCACTGACCTCAAGACCCTGTTCTATCCAGACCTCCTTCCTACAGAAGTCCCTCAATCTTCCTTTGCCACCAGCAGGGTTAATTCCTTCCATTTCAGCTATAATATTGATTCCATTTTGGGAAATGACAATTTCAGTCAATGGACATATACATTACTCCATTTCCCCCATATGAAGACTTTGCAAGGTGGTTACTGTCTTCCAATCTTTAGTAAATACACTGAGACCAAGAATGTCCTGTAGGGCTTCCATTTGCTCCCCACATCTATTTTTCTATCCCTTTCTTCTTGCTCTGGCTGATCCACTTAGGCCTGGGTAATGGGCGGGGCTCCCACACTTTTCAGGCATGAAGTTAGGTCCAGCTCAAGCAGAATTGCAAGAAGATATGTGAGGAAGGGTGGTGGACATTGAGATAGCCCCTGCTCCCCTTCTTCCTGCAGAGGTCCCAGCTCCTGTCAATCAGCTCCCTCTCTTCCTCTCTACAAGTTCTAGGAAGCACCTCCTCCCCACCTCTTTAAACCAACATGTAGCAGTAGCAATGTCCTACAGGTCCATACTGGAGTGGAGGAAACAAGAAAATTGAGTGTTCCTGCAGTGAATGTTTTTATGATGTTATTTTTTTTTTCAGAAAACTATCTGAAAAAAAAATATTGATCCTGCCTCAGCCTTCCGAGTCACTGGGATGAGAGGTATGTACCACTGGGCCTGGTCCTTGGAGACTATATCTTGTCCCTGGCTCCTTCCTCTCAATCTCTTTCTCTCTTTCTGCTTCCCAGCTGCCATGAACTGAGCAGCTTTCATCCACCATGCCCTC